GATACTACGTGACTATGCAATGAATACAACCTAGCCCGGTCAAAGTAGATGAATTCATGAAAACACCGCCACCAAACACCCTAAGAGATGCGCAAGGCCTAAACGGAAAGCTCATTGCGCTTAGCCGTTTCATCTCGAAATCAGTTGACAAGGCCACGCCACTTTTTCACAGGCTTAAAGGATGCATTGAGAAAAGAGACTTTCAATGGACAGTGGCAGCAGAGGCGGCCCTTCAATAGATCAAATAATCCTTGCACAAGCTGTCCATGCTGGCCAGACCTATCCCAGGAGACACGTTACAAATATACCTATCAACTTCGGCCGAAGCCATCTCATCAGTATTGGTCGTAGAAAGAGAATGAGAGCAGAAGTCAGGCTACTTCGTCAGCCGGACACTACAAGGTCCTGAACTCAAATACCCCACCCTGGAAAAGTTGGTGCTCGCACTCATCTACGTCACTAGACGACTAAGGCGATATTTCCAGGCACATCAGGTCGAGGTCTTGAAAAACTGCCTGATCAAACAAATATTGCTCAAGCCGGAAACTTCAGGTCAACTAGCAAAATGGGCAATTGAACTAGGCGAACACGACATCAGCTATCACCCACTAACAAGCATCAAGGGCCAGGCACTTGCAGATTTTTTGCTCGTAATCCGCTAGGGGGAGAAGGCATGACCCAAGGAGAGGCGACCGGGGCAGGAAAACCCCCGAAGGATATTCAGAAATGGATGTTATACATGGATAGGGCATCTAGCAGTGAGGGTTTAGGGACAGGTCTGATCCTAACCAGCCCAGAAGAAGAAGAGGTCACGTACGCCCTTCGGTTCGATTTTCACACCTCAAACAACGAAGCGGAGTACGAAGCTCTACTCACTGGCTTACGACTGGCCAAGCAAATGGGAGCGGAAGTAGTAATGGCGCTAACGGATTCAAGGCAGGCCGCCAACCAAGTTAATGGGAGCTTCATGGCAAAGGATAAAAGGATGGAGAAATACGTCAAGATAGTGCAACAACTCACTAAATCCTTCACATAATTCATGATCAAACATATACCAAGAAGCGAAAACAGGAGGGAGGATACCCTGAGCAAGTTGGCATCAACATGCTTCGTCCACTTATCTAAGAAGGTTCTAGTCGAAGTATTCAAGGAGAGAAGCATAGACGAACAATAAGTAAATGACTTAACATCAGCTAGGCACACATGGATGCCCCCACTGATAGAGTACCTACAACACGACATTTTTCCAGAAAACCACGGGTAAGCTAGAAAAGTAAGCATAAAAGTTCCCTTTTACGCACTTGTGAATGGGGAATTATATAGGAAATGGTTCACAACACCCTGGTTGAAGTGTGTGGATGAAGCCAAAGGAAGAGAGGCACTCCATGAGGTGCACGTCGGACAAGCAGACGCACACGACGGGGCACGCACCCTAACAACAAAGGTACTCCGCATGGGAATTTATTGGCCTACAACACATCAAGACGATATGGAACTGACAAGAAAGTGTGCAGAATGCCAAGCATACTCCCCAGTCCAAGGAAATCCCCCAGCTCCCCTGACAAACGTCTCCAGCCCGTGGCTATTCTATCAATAAGGGATATATATTGTGGGACCATTCCCCAAGGCTACAGGGAAACTAAAATACATGGTGGTCGTGGTCGACTAATTCATGAAATGGATTGAGGCTGAGCCAGTAGCATGCATATCAAGAAGGCACATGATCAAATTTGTATGAAAAAACATAATGGCTAGATTCGAAACACCCAAGACACTCATCAGTGATAACGGGCTACAGTTCGCAGAAAATCCATTTAGAGATTGGTGCGCTAGTAAAGGGATTACTCAGTAGTTTACATCAGTATCACATCCCCAATCGAACGGGCAAACAGAAGTGTCCAGTCAGACAATTGTAAGAGGAATCAAGAAACAACCGGGGAAAGCTAAAGGGAATTGGGCCGAAGAACTACCTGCAATGCTATGGTCGTATCGAACAACGCCAAGAATAGGATCGCATGAAACTCCGTTCAGTAACGGAGGCAATGCTTCCGGCGGAACTGATGATGGGAACCTTGAGGATAATTCATGCAGAGGAGGAAACTAACTCCCAAGATTTAAGGCTAAATCTAGACCTTTTCGAAGATCGGCGAGAACAATCAGGAGTGTAACAGGCCGCGTATAAGCACACTGTAGAGAAATTCTACAACCAGAGGGTCAAAGAAAATGCGTTCAAAGTAGGAGACTATGTGCTGGGGTGGAATGAGGCAAGTCGAGTCCAACCACAAGGAAAATTGGGCCCTATGTGGGAGGGTCCATATAAGATCATCGAGGAAAATCGTAGTGGAGCATACGTGCTAGAAACAATGGAAGGAAGAGAAATTCCAAGGACCTGGAATGCAAGGAACCTAAGGAAATTTTACTTATGACAAGCATGAATGGTTAGCGCTTAGGCCGGCAAGTCTGGACCTCTCATCTAACATATCTAGGGCAGATTATATAATTGTAGTGCTCAGTAAAATACTCAATGTATCAAAGAGAAAACTTCCCACGCCTAAATACTTAATGTATAAAGCGCGAAAATTATCATACTCAGTGTATTGATGATTAAATACTTAGTGTATTAAGCGCACGCTCAACATATTAATGTTAAATACTTAGTGTATTAAGCGCGAAAATTCTCATGCTCAGTGCATTGATGATTAAATACTTAGTGTATTAAGCACACACTCATCATAGTAACGTTAAATACTAAGTGTATTAAGTGTGGAAATTCTCATGCTTGGTGCATTGATGATTAAATACTTAGTGTATTAAGCACACGCCCATCATGTTAATATTAAACACTCAATGTATTAAGCACGAAAACTCGCATACTCAGTGTATTGATATTTAGTATATCAAGCGCAAGATTTGGCGTATTAACCACGGATTGACACATAGAGCACTAAAGGGATGACCCCATTCACTAAATTGGAATACCAAATTAAAAATGCACAGAGCAATAATGAAAAAAGCCCAATATACATTGAACAAGCATACCCAGTACAAGATAGCTTCAGGGTCGCAACATCAAACAAAACAGGAGTTCAACAGTACTGGTTCAAAAGACAATATACATGTAAGGAAAAGATTTTCACACCCCAGACGGGTTAGCACACGGTGCATGAGCACCTTTATCAGCATCAACAACAAGCTCACCAACAGGTTTAACCACGTTCCCACCACCAACGACAACAATCTTGCCATCATCACCGACCCCCGTGTCAACATTACCAGCACCCCCTCCACCATTAACATTCCCATCATCATCACCAACCAAACCACCAACATCATCCTTAGCATCAACCGCCACACCATCAGGAGTCCCTTCAGAGCCTGCAAAAGCACAAAGCTCGCGGATCCCTTGGATATCCAAATGCCCCAACCCCAGCAAAAATGCATGGTACATATTGGCAAACGATAATATGGCCTCATTTACACTCACAACGAGACTAGTATGGGGATGCCAGCACCAGGATTAACAGAATCAGAACCCGCTGCAGAAGTCGGAGCGTTGCGACTGGACTCCGCCCTAGCAACAAAATAAGCATGGCGGATGAGACTTACAACATTTGTAAAATCCGAGTGTTCAGTCAGCTTATCCACAATCCGCACAATACACACACGCAACAGCCAGTCCAAATCACGTTGGGTAGCTTTGACACCTACTTGAACAACGACAATCAATTTGTCACAATCAACAACGTCGCGTTCCAGGATTTCAACCTAAATCATCAACCCTTCATTCACTTGAGTAATGGAATCCACCTTGGTCTCTAGGGTAGACATAATTTCCTCCACAACAACCTTCTCAGCAGCAAGCAGCTGACACTTTTACTCTAAACCTCACACGTCACTTCCTAACTCACACACTTAACGCTTCAACCCAGGCTCACGCGAATCACACTCTGCATGAACTGTCTCCATCTCATTGAGCAGTTGGACGCGTTGAGCACCTACAACAAGGTGAAACATAGCATGTGTGGCGATATAAGACATGTTATGAGAAAGAGTGGAACTGCCCATGGCCTCCATGTCCGTAACTGCAGCAGGAGGAAATGCATGTCGGGCAAACTCTACTGCGTGGGTGCGCACAAAAATGCGAGAGTCGTTGTTGAGATTCCAAGCAGGGACAAAAGTGGGAGGATCGGAAGAACCATCGCCATTGCCCCCACTAGGAGGAGTTGAGCCTCACTCCACACTACCAGAACCTTTGATCGGAGAATACTTAGGAGGAACTTCAGACATAACTTGAACAAAAACACTGGGCTACTCAGATGCCCCCTGGACCCCCTCGGACTGTTGAATGTCATTATCGGGGATCACAACAAGTGTTGTTGGTGTTGAAAATATGAATTTAGAAGGCGGGAAAACCCACGCCTCATCTAAAATCGTTTAGCGACGTTAGGAGATCCGATAACCATCTCGTCCATGGCTAAGATGGGTTTTCTCTTAGCCTGCACACAACGGAGGTCAGAGATAATACCATCTTTGCTGTCCTCATCCACCCCAATCGAACTGGAATAAGTGCCACTCAGGGGTGTGACAGTGGTAATGGGACAAGCGGTTACAACGCTCACACCAAATGATGTTGGCATCCCACCAACCACAGAGGGAGTAGAGGCAGCAGTATTTAGGGCAATCTGGTCAATACATCAAGGGAGAGGAAGGAAATTGACCAAATCTACCTCTCGGTGCTCCAGTTTCCCTCTGTACCACTTCGTCCATGGACAGAGAGGACTCAACACCTACAAAATGATGAGACATGAGGAAAACACATAGCCAAGGTGTACAGATCAACTAAACTAAAAACCCTAACCAATAGAAAAAAATGGGGAGGGGGGAGAAGAGCAAGAGTAAGGGAGACAATACAAAGTCTTACCATCAACAATATAGAAGAAGATCGCCATTTTCCCCAGCCGCCTCCAAGAGGGACTCATTCCCACGCCTGCCAGCAGCACCTACGAATAATCCTCAGGAGTAACCTGGATGTTCTTTAGAAGGTTGGCAGCACTTTGGTTGTGCGGAAATAGTTTGGAAGTAAGATCGGCAAAGGTGTTAGCACGATATCGTCCACTACCCATCAAACCCTGATTCACCCACAACCACTTGTCTTTCCAGTTCTTTGGGGTCTTCCCATCGGGAACCAAGGTGTGCGCCCCTTGCCAGACGGAAAAAGTGCACTTGTCACCAGTGCAGCAGAACCTAAAGAAGTATTTAAAGACAAAATAGTTGGGGAGAACGTCGTTGGCACGACAGGTCATCTCAAATGCCACTACCTTATTCACGATGTTGGGAGTCAACATATGGATGCTACAACCCTTTTTTCGCAGGACCTCCTCCTGGAAATCGGTAAGGAGAAGCGCAATCCGCTGTCAAGGGACTTCAGATAAACCCCCACTTTTCCAGGAGGAGGAGACGTAATAGAAGAACCAGGTGAAGGAAACTCGACCCTATCTGTTGAAGAAATGTCTTATGTCTCCTCTAGATATTTGTACTCAGCACTAGTAGGAAGAGTTCCGGATGAATAAGCCATGAAAGAAAATGGAAAAAGTGTTGGATTAATGTCTAAGTCCATAACTATAATTGGTAAGACTTGACCCGACCCGGCATGGTCCATTTGGGTTGCATGGCATCATGCACTTGGATAAACTAAAATGAGAAATAACACTTAAGGTTTGTTAATATATTATAAGTTCTAATATATTAATAAGGTTATTTAATTAGTATTGATCAAGAATTAATTTGGAATTAATTAAGTGATCAAAAGGAGACTAATTAAATATATGGGTTGATTATGTAAATCATTCATTCTTATATATGTGGGCTTGTGATCCAAGATTCCTTATGTTGGACTAAGTCCATGGGGTGACCCATGGATACTCCATGGAGGTTAAAATCCATGGAGCATAAGGAATGGGTAAAGTCATGAGTTACATGGTGTAACCCTAATAGCCACCATATAAAAGAAACCCATGGCTCAAGAAATCGTTACTATGACTATGTGTATGTATGAGGGCTAGACGATTTCATCAAGTGTTCTAATTTCTCTCTAAGTTATTCCAAGTGCTTATGGTGTTGTGTGAACCATTTGAGGTGTCACACTTGGGGCACTAGGCACTCAAGCTTCATGAAGACAAGCACTATCAAAGAGGTATGTATTCTATCTTGCTTTATTGATTATTTTGTATGCTAGATTAGGATAATACCTTGGATGTTCATATTTTCATGTATAATAGAGAAAACATAGATCCAAGGTATTTAGGGTTGCATGTACACTTAGGAGTGTTAGAATGCTCATAACCCAACAAAAAGAACCCTAGAAGAAAGAAGAGCGGGAGAGAGGAAACGTAAAGAAAAAAGAAAATATGGCGAGAAGCATTCTTATAAGAAAAGGAAAGGTGGGATATTCAAAATCCCTGGCAAATGACGTAACCACTAGCCATGATAAGCGGTCATGTCTCCATTAAAAATCAGAATGGCGAGCGAATAGAAAACAAACACGTATAGAGCAATTAACTCCAGAACACCGTAGATAGCACAACAACGCTATGTCTACCGGACCGGGGGACTTGATAACATGCCCTAGCTAGCACGAAAGAGTCGCGCCCAGCTCAAGATGTTGGTGCACCCGGCAGACCAGACCCAACATGCTTAGCTGCCCCGAGCGCCAGACACTCTAGCAAATGGATAAGTGCCCGCCAAAGGTATCCTCGCAAAAGGCTCGCGCCTGCCAAGAGCGCCTTTATCTCTACGACAAAAAATACAATCAAAGATAAGGCAAGGGATCAAAGCATTACCGACAGTACCAATAGCAACGCTCTGACAGATAGAGGCGCACAATCCTCCAATCAGCGCCCCGAATCCTGTCAGCCCAGGCGATCCTTTCTCGTATGAACAAGCAGGTGGCGTTGGGTATAAAAGGGAATGTTCATGATCCCGACAGGTAAGACACCTTCTCCAAGCTACACTCATACACACCCATAAAACCCGAAAGACTTAACCGTCATAGCATCTTTCCAGGAGCCCCCTCTTGGGAAACGGATGACAGCCTCCTTTCTCTGTGATATTGCAGGAGAAACTCCAGAACCATTGTCGAAACCTAACCAGAACAAGATCAAGCTCGCATCAGGGCTTTAGGGTAAAGTCCATTAGAGCAATTTGGGCCCAATTTGGAAAATTGGGCCATTGGTGGGCTTTGGAAGATTATCTAGTGATGCACCTTTATGTTATGATTTTGGGCCTTAGTTATTAGCCAAGTTAAGTCAGGGTCATTTTACCCTAAGATGGATTATTGGATCTTGGTTGATTTTTATTTTAGATTGATAGCTCGAAAGTCGTCTCGACAACATCTAGAGATTTATTTATGAGAGATTAAAATTTTTTAAGTGAGTTTCCTCACTGGGTTTAGCAGGTTGAAGTCGTCAATGTCGGCCCATGTCTATGCTATGTTAGTATGCTAGTTGTCTTTGTGACTCTGGCATGCGTATGTGTTTATATGCCTTCTGGTCCAAGGTCTGATGTCGGGCAGGGCCCAATGACTATTTATATGCTATATATTTATGTTGCATGTGTATGTGTTTATTTTATATATGTTATATGCATGTTGGGCGATGCCCGATTTACTACCGAGGTCAACTCGATGACCGGGCGAGGCCCGATGACCTGGAGGAGCCCACTATATGTTTATTGTATGTTTGTTATGTGGTATTGTGGGGGAAATCACTAAGCTTTGTGCTTACCATTTTCAATTTATGTTTCAGGTACTCTCGGTTGTAAAGGGAAGAGCTCGGGATGACTACATCACACACATCATTAAGAATCCGCTTATAATGTTTTACTCTGATTTTATGGCAATTGATACAATGGTTTTTATTTGAATGTTTGGATGATATTGGAAAATACTATTTCATCTATTATAAAAATGAAATTTTGGGACCATATTTTCGGATGTTACAAAACTTCCTTTTTGAATGGTAAACTTGACGAGGAAGTTTACATGAATCGTACATAATATTTCATTATGCCTGGTAAATAGTATATGGTTTGTAAACTTGTCAAATGTCACACCCCAAAACCGGAACGACGGAATCATCCGGGGGTGGAGGACGTCATGTATAGTATCACAACAATGCAAAGTAGTAAACAAGCAACACCATCATCCATTGCATTAATAATATAATTTCATACAAGTGTGTTCTGTCAAGTTATATAGACACCAAAAAGTACATCAAAATAAAAGAGGAGTCTTGAACAAGCTCCATCTTCTCAAAAACCTGGCACCGGTACCTGTCTACAGGTGACCTGAGAATACAAGTTATTTTGAAAGTGAGTATCAGCTTTAAAGCTGGTGAGATCATAAGTATATTAGTGTCTGAGTTTGTATGAAAGTGGTTGTAAGATGTAATGTATAAGTTTTGTAAAGTTTGTATTTGTTTGAACACTCATAGAAAACCCTATGTTTCTAATTATAAGTAGCCTTCTACCAAGGCATCTAGTAACTATGTGTGTGTCTCTTGGAATAGTGTGTATTTTCCAAAATCCGACTATCATTAACCAAAAATATAGTTTTACATTACAGTATCATGTGAATGTTCACGAAGTGAATGAATGGGAAAAATATTATAGTATTGTAGTATTGTATTAAGTAGCTAATGATGTACTAACTATGTAACGCCCCGTTTATTTAAATAAATTAGTAAATGTACGTCCTGAACTAATTTTTGAAGAATTTTAGAAGTTCGGGGTTAAAACAGTAAGTTTCAGATGTAATTTTAAAAGGGTTTTAGAATTGGGAACTGCTTGGTAATTTTTAGGATCTAAATTGAAAGGAATTGGGAGTGTTGGGGGCTGAAGTGTAAATTACAGATTTGTTCTGAAGAGTTATGAGGAGGGACTGAAAGTGTAAATTTCCCTTGAAGTTTGAATGAACACGGGATTGAACCCGGTGGTATATCATTCTCATCATATGGTCATCACTCCCAAAACCCTAACCTTATCCTTATGAAGCAGCCGCCATGCACGCCCCTCCAGCCGCTACTGCCGATCTCGGGTCCGATTGCAATCCCTCCACCTGCAACCTTTCTGTCGGACGCCACCCAACAGCCCCTGATGCCGATGTCATTATGTGCAACCGCAAGAGTCGACGAAAACTGAAGATGGAAGCCGAGAACATCGTCGGATTGTCTAGGAGTGATCAGGAACTTCTCGGTATGCCAGCAACACTTGATTTCGTCATTCTTCTTTTCGATTTCGACGTCGGGATCATTGTAGTCGCGACTTTTAGTCGCTACCCCCCAGCTTGTTTCAGCGTCGCTAGCCGCCTAGTCGGTGGTGGGAGCGGTGGTCTCGTGTCACGCAAAGATACGTGTTGCAATTGAACCATGAAGTGTTGTGAGATTGTGGCTGGATGAAAATCGAGGAAAAGAACCACCATAGCTGCCTGCCATGGTGGTCGTCGCTACTGCCACCTCCCGGTGATGCTGCCGCCGCCTTGGGCCACCAAGCGGGTGGCTAGGGTGCACATCGCAAATCAGAAGCCTGTATGTGTGGGTTTATTTCAATAGAGAAGTGTGTGGAAGTTTTTTGGATGGAAAAGCCATCACCACCACCGTGAGGTGGTGGCTGCTGCCGCCAGCCACCATGGTGTGGCTGTGTGTGTGTTTATTTCTGGATTAAAAACCTTGTAATTGTATTTAGCGAAAAAGATTAATGAAAAGAATCAAAACCACCACCGTAAGGTGGTGGCCGCCGCCTCGAACCGCCGTTGACCACCACTACCCAAGGTGGTAGTGGGTGGTGTCCGCTAGCAAACCCTAATGGGCTTAGAGATTGGTGTTGGGCCTATTGGGCCATGTTTGGGTGGAAGACCCTAATTGTTAGTATTTGGGCCTTGGACCTTTTTGGACCCATTTTTGGGCCATTGGGATTGGATTGTGAATTAAGCCCAAACTATTCCATGTCATTTATCTAGTAGAGTAAAGAACTTAATGGGCTAATTGAGAAAATACTAACATTTGAGAAATCATCAGGGCAGACACATACGGGAATTATTTAATAAGTGAAATGTTAAATAATAATCATTGGTAGAAATTAATCTAAGCAATAATGGACTTAATGGATTAAGTCCTTAGTGGGTTAAGCCCTTAATAGGTTAAGTGAGAAACACTAAACCCTAATTATTATTTTATGAGAAACCCTCATTTCACTCGGGCTTTGTGGTGGGCCATCCAAGAATAATTAAATGGACTAGAGTAATTAGTTGGGCTCTAGGGTAAGGCCCATATGAAGGAGTGGGTCCACTTTG